TTTAGTTTAGGAGCTTACTAGTATAGCCTTTTGCTCTTATCATATCGGCTAAGGCCATCAATTTCCCCACATCAGATGGGAAGAAACAAAAACGAAAACATTTCTCTCTGTTAGGTTGCCTGTGCTCTACTTGATAGCTGGTATCTATAAAGATCCAATCAATCTATACAAGCTCTTTCCTATCTTTATCCCAACTAACTGGCTATACTACCTAACGCTAGCTATATCTCAACAGCCATCCCTACAGAAAATGGGATGGAGTAAAACAAAAGAATGTGACCGGAAAATTTTACAGATGACTCGAATCTGTACAGCAGAAGAAATTGGGAAACTAACAAGTTACAACTGTACAACCACTAATCTTCTATCCTTTGTATCTCACCCATCATGATGCGATTGCTTGTAACCTTGAATCCAAGAAGAGCAGGATCAATCTGCCTTCCTTTCTTTCCTTTCTTCTTACCACTACGGGCACATTGTGTTCCATCCAATGCCTCTGATGCATGTGCCTCCTGAGCTGTTGGCTTCTTTGCGTTACTCTTAAGCATGTCACTGAATGATGTCTCTGAAACATCAGCATCACCACAAGATGCAGTACGTCGGAAGCGCACATCTTTCTTTCCAGATGTCACGGTGTCACGGACTTGATTTGCTGCATTACCTCCCGCTTCCCTCTTGTCCCCTAGTAATAGAATTAACATGAGGATGAGTAAGCAATTCGTGATAGATGGAATTTGTGCACAAGGGGATTGGGAATTTTACTGTTACAAGTGCCACAATGGGAATAGCAGAGATAAAAATAACTGGTATACTCCTCACATGCATCTTCAAGGTGCAAAATAGAAATGAAACATAGTAAAATCAAGACACAATCAGAAGACAGTTTGCAACAAAAAGGAAAAGGACAGCCTACTTTCAGAAGCCATGGCATCTGAAGGATTTTTGCTTTTCACAAGGGTATCAGAAGTTAGCTCAGATAGACTCTCCTGTGTCGAAGAAACTCGTAAGACAGGTGGACGCTTCAGCAAGATATTATCCAGCCTTTTTGATGTCACAGTCATCATCCTACCAAATAAAAACAAAATACAGATGCATATCAGGAAAGTAATATCACAACATATTTTTACATATCAGGAAAGTGCTATCTATTGCATGATTTTTACACCATACACTGATAAATGAAAAAATTAACCTTTTAAGAAAGGGAAGGGAAAAAAAGCAACCGAAACTTTTTGTGAGAGCATGGCCGAGATCAGACAGATTTGGCAACACAGTTTTGGAGGGTGAAAACACTACTATAACAAAATAATTTCCACATTCTTATGACAGTTATACCTTTTATTTTAATAAGTTATGACAGTGATACCTTTAAACATACAGAACTTGGAAAAAGTTTTTGAACAATCAAATTGGTGCCCAAACATCACCTTTCCTAAGACTGAAACCTAGTAGTAGTGACAATGCTGATATTATCTGATTACGCCTTTAGTGAAGAGGCTCCTTAACAACACTTGATTATACATGCATGTACAACAACGACAACAAACCCAGTATAATCTCACAGGTGGGGTCTGGGGAGGGTAGTGTGTACGCAGAGCTTACCACTACCTTAAGAAAGATTATGCATGCATGTACCATTATAAATATCAGTAAAATGAAGATGGTGCGCAATAGAATGAAATATCAGAACCAAAAATGTTCAGTACTGAAGCAATAATTCAGTTTCTAAGCAAGCCAGCCTACTCTATAATAAGAGAACATTCTTTTTGTAATAGAATCTTGGCAATAAATCCTACTGCTTCAGGAATTACAACTAGCAGTTTCCTCTTACAGAGCATTTTATACGAATAAAATTGTTGCAGCTGCTGAAGCACAAACTTTACTTCATTTTCCAAACTACCAACTATGCCCATCAGAATGACACCAATAATGATAAATCCTTTCCTTTCCATGAAGAAGCAGAAGATAGCACTTACCGTTCCTTCGGAATTTCCTCCGCAACCGAATCCCCTCTATCACTCTTGTCATTGTAGAAGTCAAGATTTCCACCTGAGATGATTTAAAAACATTAAAATCTTTCAAACAATAAAATCTTCTTTTGGATAAAGGGATATATGTACACACACACAGAGAGAGAGAGAGAGAGAGAGAGAGAGAGAGAGAGAGAGAGAGAGAGAGAGAGAGAGAGAGAGAGAGAGAGAGAGAGAGAGTAACCTCCAGTCCCAAGTGAACTGTGCCTGCTAAGCAAGTTAACTGGCATTTCCCCCTCTACAGTCATCACACCAGCTTGCCCACCGATACTTTCTCGAGCTTCAAGATACACCTGCAGATAACCATCTTGACATGTAAGAGCACATCTTCATCGCCACCACATATAAGATGCCTATGTCTGGGATCTTGTAAATTACCTGAGAGGCATCATTGATGCTGGAAAAGACAGGTTCAACTTCAGCTAAAGCTCCAGAATGAGATTTGTAGGGCAATTTCTCACCAACATCAAGACCACTGGCAATCTCATCTACATGATCTCTCTGTGGTGGCAAACCTGAATTAGAACCATATGATCCAACACTAAAGGCTTGGTTTAGACTCGTATCCTGGTCCAAAAGAGGGTTGAACGAACAGTTTGAAGCATTTGTCCCAGAAAACTGACCAGAGTGAAAGCCCCTCTCAAACAAAATCCCCCTGGTCATTTCTGCTTTCTCAGTTGACTGCTGGCCAGATTTTTGCTGGAGCAGCTCCATAAGTAATCGCTTTGAACTGTCATCGCTAGCACCAGCTGACATCCACATACTTTGATCTTCAGAAGCCCTTTTGACATCAAAATCCCTTCTTTGCATCTCACCATTAAGATGCAGTTGCTGCATCCGAGTTTCCATCCAATCAACTGGTAACTGACCATTTCTTTCAGGCCAATGATTTTCAATTGTATCTGCATTCGGAGCATGAAATTGATTGGAAAACAAAGGATGGTGAGGAGATTGCGCGTGGGTTCCAGTCGAGAACCCAGGCATATGACCAGCTGATTGCATTCTTGAATTTGGATCTTGCATTTCTAAACCTTGTGCACGCAATAGAGGATTTACAGCGTCCAAATTAACACCAGGACCACCACCAGGTACTGACATTGTACGTTCTAAAGGCAGTAATCCAGAGTCATAGAGACCCCGCTGAAGTCTATCCTGCACTGACAAATTCCTTTCCAGATGACTGACATGCTCTTCAGGAAGGGGTATCTGTTGCTGTTGGTAAATATCTAATGGGCCAAATCCAGAGTTGGCTCGACGAGCAACAGCTGGATTTCGGAGAAACTGACCAGTTTCATCTACATGCCAGACAGAACCAATCTGTCTATCTTCCTCCATTTCCAAACGTTGCCTTAGCCTCTCATGCACTTGTTCCTGTTGAAGGATTTGATGCTCCACAGGGTGCAGTTGTCCATGCTTTGCCCGAGATAGGAGCTCCATCAAATCATTTTGATGCCCTTGACGCGGTATTTGACCAAATTTTGCTTGAATGAGATGCTCAATAGATGGTTCAGCATGTCTTGGAGGGAGATGTGAACGCTGTTGCAGTTCACTCAGAATTTGCTGTTTAATCAACACCTGCTCCAGAGCACTGTTATGCCTAATAGAACCAAGACGTGATTGTGCAAGACTTGAATCACATATTTGACTCTGCAATAATTGTTCAAGAAGCAGCTGTCTAGCATGGGACTGTTGTTCTTTCATTAGCATTTGCTGTTGATGGAACTGTTGCTGTTGTTGCAGTTGTTGTTGTTGAAGCTGTAACTGTCTCTGCTGCTGCTGCTTCTGCTGCAGCTGAAGAGCCATAAAGTGTTCCAAGTCCTGTCCAGTCTGACTCGTCATCTGCGGTTGGTGTATTGAATTATAATTTGCCCCTTGTTCCAGCATTGCTTCATTTAAATGACTATTATGAGAAGACATCAAACTATTAGGATGCTGTTGTTGAAGTTGTTGGGAGAACAGCTTATCTGCCAACTCAAACCGGTTCAGTTCGTGGTCCCTGTGCAACAAGTGGCTGGCATCTGTAGCATCTTGATATAAGTTGGGTTCTAATAGAGCATTTCTTCTATAAGCATCAGTCCATGTCTCTACAGTAGAGGCTGGTTCCGTCTTAGCACCAAACGGCGCAACCCTTGCAGCAACAGGGTTTAGAATCTGATCCTGGCCACCTCCACTAAATGGAACATCTGAGATAGGACCACTCTTTCCTGAAGTGCCTTCAAGCTCTGACCATAATAAACCAAGTGGGTGCAGTGGCTCTTCCTCTTCCTGATTTGGAACTCGGCCCCCGGTCATTGCGTTTGGAATTGCACGGTGCATATTTGAAGGATCAGTAGGTCCCGTTGAAGTTTTTCCAATAGGATTGCCACTGCTTCCAGGTCTTCCTGGAAACACAATTTCTGCAAATGGATTTCCATTAAGTAATGAATCAGATAGCAAAAGAACAGATAAAGGTCACCTGCATTAAATATTAATGATCATGATCTTGATGGCCTATTTGCAAGGAAAGAGGCTACGTTCTCTCCTCCAAAGCCACCAGAGGCCATGCATTGGCATAAAAATAAGAATCCAAAGTGAAAACGCTAACTAACCTTCGTCTTGAGCAACGAAATCATGAAACTCTTCATTTTGTAAATAAGGCGGTTTAAATTGACGAGCTGGATGATCAGGTACTGACTGATTAAGATGTCCACCAAGGCCATTGTGGCCATCAAAATCAGATGTCGGCCAGCTCAAGCCATCCAGGGCAGCAGAACCAACCATCTCAGAAACAGAAGCTGAGCAATGTAAACCAGAGTCCAGCTTCCCCTCTAGTACAGCAGATGGTTCTACCTGAGGAAGATTGATGTTACCAACATACTCATGTTCAAATTTCAAATGCGGCATTATGTCACCCAGTTCAAAGAAAGGTGAATCTTCAGGGGCATCTTCCAACCGAACTGGCAAGTCAGTTCCAAAAAATCCCTGGTCAAACCATGAGATGATGTCAGCTCCAAGAAATGGCCCCTGGACTTCGCCCTGTGGATCACGATAATACAAACTCAACTCCTCAGGTGGGGTAACCCTTCCCAGAAGGTTGTTCCAATAGATTTCTGAAGAGGACTTTGCAAATCGGGAATTTGAATCACCAGGAACCTTTGAACTGACATCAAAGGCAACATGTTGTTGGATGTTCTCAAAGACAGTGGCCCTGGTTACTCCAGATTCTGGTAAGCTGACCTCAGAAGTATCAGATTTAGACCCACTAATGACTTTCAAGCAGTCTTTGACAGTTCTCTTCCTGGTCAACAATCTTTCATCTGCAGGAATAGATTCAGAAACTTTCTCTTTCTGTCCTTCATGATTATCTCCACCTAAATCAAGAACAAGTTCTTTATCAGAAGTCAACAAGTAAAGCTATATTGATGAGAAGAGCGAATAATTAATTCCAAAATAAATAGAGGTAATACTTTACTCACCATCCAACTTGACCTTGACACCATTCTCATAAGAAAAGCTATAGGCATTGGCTTCTTCAACACCTTTTGAAGTTTTCAGTAACCTATCAGCTGCCTCTTCAGTGACATCAGCAGAGGGAGCACCCTGCTTTGGATTGTTGGGCTCTGTATCCCCAGTTTCTGGGAAGTACAAAAACAATCAGAGAGAATCCTGTGCTCCTACTCCAACAAAAAGATAATGGACATGGGATAGCAGTAGCACTCAGTAGCGCATCCTAAGACAGTGTTTGAAAGACAGTTACCTGTGACATCATCCATTGATTGACCCTTTCTAAAAGGATTGTAAGAAACACCACTACCAGTAATTTTACCCTTCCATATGTCATTGAGGACAGCCTGTAAGAATGATCAAGTAACTTTATGGTATCAAATATTTCTTGAACACTAAACCGACAAGACTGATTGAATGAAGTAATCGATTTAGCTCACCTCCTCCTCAGCATCAGGAACAACAAAAGCTAATGGTTCAATAGCAATTACTTGAGTAACTGGGGGTTCTTCTTCCATATTTTCAGGCATGCTA